AGAGGAGAAAGAAAATATCGGGCCAGGCCGGGCCTAAACGGGCCTACTTCATTAAAAAAAAATCATAAACTTAATCATAAGGGCATTTTAGTCCAAATTTGAAATTAAACTCACTTAATTCCAATATTTTCACATCAAACCAAATTCATAAAACACCCAATAAAGTCATACAACTTAATAAGATTTTTCACAAAATAATAAAACCAAGTATTATTTTTGAGGTTATTATATAATTAGACTGTAATACGTTTTAAGAAATAATTTAAAAAAATAATAAGTATCAAACAAATATTTTTTTAAAGGATGGTATGCATAAATATGCAAATATTTGGTGATGTGTTCAAAAAAAGCATGATTATATTTGGTGGTGTGATTATGTTTGGTGATATAATATGTTGTTCGTCTTATTCTTAATTTATATAATTGTTGTATTAATAATTGACACAAATTAATATGCTAATAATCCAATTATAAACTAAAAATGAGTAAAGAAAAGTAAATGAAATGAAACAAAATAAGAAACCCAAGGCCGGGCTTTTTTTTGATGGGCTGGGCGGGGCTCCATCGGCCCATGAGCCCGCGGGCCAAATGATGAGGCCTATTTTCCTCTATACTCTAGCACAAAAAAGAAAAACTAAAAACTAAAATTAAAATGGTTATCAAACAGACCCCTAATTAGCATTTTTCATCATGCAATCACAATGATGCTTAAAGGAGTGGATTAAACTAGGAGAAACAATGAAAGTATGGAATTGGGGATTATGGAGAAACCCTTGACCTCTTTTAAGTGGGGTTTATGTAGGAACCCCTGACGTCTTTTAGGTGGGGTTTGTGGAGGAACCTAACCTCTAACTAAAAGTTAGTTAATAATTATCAAGTTTCATCCACTATAATCTAACTACAAAGGAAAAACGTATCCCACAGAACAGCGCCCACTACTCACGTTGGATGAGGGATTAAGGGAATCTCATCATACAGACTAATTATTAAACTAACTTATGAAATATTAATAAAATAAAATAGAAACATAAAATATAATTCGTAACGCTTAATTATCAATCTATCATATAACTTTTTCAAATTCACAAAATTAATCATCTTAAGCCTTTGATATTAGTTCAAGTGATGAGGATAAGTCTAGAAATGAGTCAGATTTCAAATTCACAAATTTAATCATCTGAAGCCTTTGATATTAGTTCAAGTGATGAGGATAAGTCTAGAAATGAGTTAGGCCTACGATAGATAAAGAGTTCGCTTCTTTTACCTCTAAAATAGGCGCTCGGTCTTACTTAAACATTAATTAAACCTTTTATAAACAAACGGTTTAAGAATTACACCTCGACCCGTTAACAGCTTGCTGGGGCATTTTGCTCGACGGCGCTAGTTCTTTTTCTAATTATTAAACTAACTTATGAAATATTAATAAAATAAAAACATAATATGTAACACTTATTTATAAATTTATAATATGCAAGGATTGATATTGACGAAGCAATTTATGGATGGTTTGATAGAAAAGGTCCAGTTGAAGTTTACTAAAAATTATTTTTGCATGTCACTACAGAATTGAAGGGACAAATTAATAATTATTTTTGCATGTTACAACTGGATATATTAAACAATTATACAAGACAAAAAGGTAAAATCAACTTGAGAAAGACGTGGAATGAGCCTATTTTGCTAGCTAGTTGCATAAAGTTGATATTGAATTAAGGCAGGGGCCGCGCGAACGCAGGCCCCCACTACAATAAATTATGACGTTGGCTCTCCTACGTTGAGGAGACCATAGGCGGGCACCCCTCCTAAGTGCAATGGAGGTCACCAACCTAGGCCATGAGCCTTCTTGATCGCCCATAGACTCAGTCCAGGTAAGTATGTTTTGAAGTGCCTCTCGTTCCTTTTTAATACATTAGTCTCGCTCTCAACTTCTTGTGAATTTCTGATGTGGTACTTTAGGCTAGACATAATCACTGGCTAAAAAATGCTGAAAAAAGTGCCAAAGATGCATGTGATTTGACAAGCTTAATTAATCTAGAGAAACACTCAACTTTCAAATTCACAAATTTAATTCTCAAGCCATTAACATTAGTTCAAGTGAGGAGGACGAGTCAAAAATTAATTAGAATTATGATAAGTAAAGAGTTCGCTTCTATTTCATTGTAAAAAAGAATTTAAACCGATACTTCTAATTGCTTTATAAAATGACTTTTCAGCCATAAAAAATAATTTGGGTTCATATACTGAGCCAGAGTCATGCAGTTTGAAGGCTTGGTCTGCAAATTTAGAAGAACAATCTTAATAAGGCTTGTGGCATTATTCAAGTACATGTAGTGTTATAAATATAGAAATACAATTTGTGATTTGTTATCTCCCAGACAGTTTTTTTTTTCTTCAGCATGTTCTTCAAATTACAAATAATGCAAATAGACAGTTTATTTCTTTGTCAAAATTTTTTGCAGGTTACAAATAATACAAATAGACATCATCAAGAGTTGGTTGAGCTCGTAAGAATCAGTCTCTTCTTTAATCTGTAAAAACCCTAAAAAAGACTTAAGACTCCCTCTATAAGTCCTCAAAAGGCCTTAGTATGTCATTAGTTAGAATGGGGTAGCTTCCCCTCCCTTAAACACCGAAATAAAAATGGCTTAAATGCTACAGTGCCCCCTGGAACATTAGTCAATTCTCACTTTACTCTCTCAAAGTTAAAGTGACCTACTTTGCCCCCTTGACCAATGTTTCATGTTTCACTTTACCACTTTCCGTCAACCCCTTTTCAAATTCCGTTAAACTAATAACGTGGCAGGAGTAGTTTGGTCAATTCAACTGAGCTGGGATTTTCCCTCCCAATCTGAGGTGTGACGTGTACATGTGGACCCCACCCCTAACATCTGATATAGCTCAACCGGCTTAATTGCTTGCTGATGTGGAATTTGGGACCCATCTCTAACAAAACAGCCACGATAATCTCTGAGAACTCAAAAAGGGAAACAGACAATCAGGTTGGGAGGGAAAATTGAGATTCGGGGATTTTTGAGCTAGGGTTTGAGAATAAGGATCGAGATAGGGAGAGCGCTCTCAATTGGTTTCGACAACTTGAAGGCAAGAAGAAGCGACGCGACGCGACTCGACTCGATGACGATGCCCGTTTGGCAAGAAGCAGGAACATGGCAACTTGTGTACGGTAAGTGATTCTTCTGAAAAGGGACCTGTTTTCTGAAAAGGAATCTTGTCCTGTGTCTTGGAAAAGAATCTTGACATGATATTGGTGTGCATTGTGTAGAAATTGATAGGGTTTAGGTCTTTTTGTGTTATGTGTTGTCGGCAGAGAGGGTTCTAAAGCAGTATACCTTTTTTGATGTGGTCCGTTTTTGTTTTCTTCTAGTTGGCTTTGAATATGTTAATCGAACCATGGTTGTTGTCTTGCTTTTAATAAATGGCTTAGAATACTATTTTGCTTTTGTTAAAAATAAACCCTTTTTGTTTCTGTGTAGAGGACAAAGAATTGGTCACCTTTGATGTGCATCATGGTGGCAGAATTGTGAAAAATAGAATAAGTGGTGTTATACTGGTGGGTCTGTAGGATATTTGAATTAGTGTACTGTATAGTATATAAATATGTTAGAGATGTGGGAGCAAGTGTAACTACTTGGGCACATGGGGAAAATATCTCTTAAAGGAGTAGTAAATGATGAGTTACTGGATATAGACAGGGATGGTGAGCTGTTAAGTTTGAGTGATAAGGTACCACTTTCTTATGAGGGAGTGGTGCTAATTTATGTACAACATATTGAAGAGGAAGATGTTGCAGTGAATGAGGATTGTGAAGAGGTAGATGTGGCATTGAATGAGGATAGTGAGAATATTGGGCCTGTTAGTGATGAAAATGAGGCTTTTACTAAGGCAGTGGGCCACTGAACAATGATAAAGAGGGCCGGCCTTTTACTGAGGATCATGGGCTTGCTTGCATAGTTGAAGATTGGGTTTCAAGTGATGATGATGGGCCCCTGAACAATGAGGGTAGTAGGGCTGATATAGGTGAGACTGATGTGGAAGACAGTGAAAAAGAAGACAAGGAAGAGGACCCTGATTTTGTTGATAGTGCTTATGAGCAGAGTGAAAATGAATGTGAGTTGTTGAAAAAGGACGATAAAGCATTTGAAAGTTATGTAGACCAGCCAAAAGTAGTTGAAGACCCAAATGCCCCTGTAGATGAAGATCGGGAGTCAACTGATGTAGCTAAAAGTGATGTTGAGAGCTTGGATAGTAGCTCACATGATGAAGATGATGGGAACCAGAAGAAAAGGAAGAAGAAATTGCCTAAATTTCAAGAATTTAGGCCTAAAACAGACATGTGCAACCCTGTGTTTAAGCTGGGTTTAAGGTTTGCAACCTCTAACCTATCTAGGAAAGCAATTAGGAACTATTCAATTGTGAACAGGAGGATGATTAAATTCAAATGCAATGATCATGATAGGGTGAGGGCAGTGTGTGCAGGAAATTGTAACTGTGTTTGTTTTGCTTCAGCAGTGAATGGTAGTGAATGGGTTCAAGCAAAGAAATTGGTTGATGAGCATGATTGTGGGATAGTTAATCACAACTTTCATGCTAACTAAACATGGTTAGCTCAAAGATATGCTACTCAACTGTCTAGAAAGCATAATTGGGATATGAGAACTTTTAAAAAGTAGGTATAAGAAGATTTGTCTGTGATAGCTTCTAAATCCCAAATATATAGGGCAAGGCAAAAGGCAACATCCATATATGAGGGGACTTATGAAAAACAATATGAATTATTATGGGATTATGCTACTGAACTAAGAAAGACAAATGTGGGTAGCACAGTCATTATCAAATGTGAGTTGGAAAGTGAAAGGTCAAGGTTTCAGAGGGTTTACATTTGCTTGGCTGTAGTTAAACAAGAGTTTTTGCATGGATGTAGGCCAGTTATAGGATTTGATGCTTGTCATATAAAAGGTCATCACCCTGGATAATTGTTATCTATGGTTGGTGTGGATCCTAATAATGACATGTATCCTATTGCGTATGCAATGGCTGAGGTGGAGAATTATGAAACATGGTCATGGTTTTGTCAATTGTTGGCAGAGGACCTTGGAATTGAAAACAGCAGAGGATATGTCTTTATCACAGACAAGCAAAAAGGCTTAATTGATGCAGTACATGATCATTTTCCAAACGCTGAGCATAGACACTACCTCAAACACTTAGAAGCAAATTTTTTGCTTGCTGGTCACAAAGGATTGGTGTTGAAATTGCAAATGGAGAAAATCGCAAGGAGCACAACCATTCCATGGTGGGATGCTGAGATGAAAAAGATGAGACAGCTGAACCAAGCTGCATTTGATTGGGTGGCGGTCTTAGATCCATCACAATGGTGCAGAGCTCACTTTAAAACTCATTCCAAGTGTGACATCCTTTTGAATAATATGTGTGAGGCTTTTAACGGTGTCCTTGTAGAGGTACGAGACAAACCTATTTTAACTATGCTAGAGAGAATTAGATACTATATTATGTTGTTGATGGCAACTAGAAGAGCATTTTGTGAGAAATGGAAACATGCCATTGGTCCAAGGATTTTGGGATTTTGGAGAAAACGAAGAAAGAATCAGCTTGGTGCATTCTAAAGCTTGTTGGGGATAGTTTATATGAGGTCAAAAACCATGATGGAAGTCAGGTTGTGGTTGATTTGGCGATGCATTGTTGTTCATGTAGGAGATGGGATATTACTGGGATCCTATGCAAGCATGCTTGTGCTGCCATTGGCCAATTAAATAGGGATCTTATTGCTTATGTTGATGCTTGTTACAAGAAGAAGGCATTTATGAGAGTTTATAGTCCAATGGTTCATCCAATGACAAGTGAAGACTTGTGGCCTAAGTGTCATAGGCCTCCTTTGATGCCACCACTTTATCACAAACAACCTGGGAGACAAAAGAAGAAGAGGATGAGGTCAGCAGGTGAACAACCAAGCAAATCTAATCATACAGCCACCAAGTTACAGAGGTATAACTTGGAAACCAAGTGTTCACTTTGTAGACAAGAATGCCATAATAGGAGGAGTTTCCCTAAGGCAAAAGAAGGCAGCAGCAGTCAGGTTTGTCTCTTCCAAAAAGACATTGGCAATGCATTTTTGTTTTGGATCTTTATTATTTATTTATTTTCAAGTGATTCTCTTCTTATGTTAAGTCTCATGTAAACGAAAGGTGAAGGAATCTGCCCAAGATACGACATCAACCAAAAGGTTTACAAGACAATCAAAAGCCAAGCAACTTGTAAGTGACTTTATCTTTATTGATATTAAGAGGAAGAGGTATGAGATGTAGTTGATGTAAATTGGAATCCTTTTCAATTTTTAGGTGAGAAAAAGGTTGGAAACTGGCCAGTGTTCTCAAACTCCACATGGTTCTGAAACAGCCCAAGCTTCCCAAATTGCCCCGGCCTCAGCATCTCAAACTGCCCTACCTTCAGAAACTATACAAGCATCTCAAACTGGCCCAGCTTCTTAAACTGCCCAAGCTTCAAATACTCTAAAAAAAAAAAGAGGTTTAAGTCTCCTGCAAAAAGGATTAAATTTCCCAAAAAGAAGGATGACTCTCAAACTGTGCAAGGCTCTCAAGCTGTGCAAGGAACTAAATATGTGCAAGCTTGTCCAGTTTCTCAAACTGGCCAAAGTTCTCAACCTGCCCAAACTTCTCAATCTGCCCAAACTGTGCAAGGATCTCAACCAAGTGCAAGCTTATCACACTCCTTTGTCAGTGGTACAAGCAAAAAGAGGTTCAAATCTCCTGCTAAAAAGAAGAAATTTACCAATCGGAAGGATTTGTTGGATGGTTATCAGCCTTGGACATTCTGATCATGTGCAAGTGTTCTCGGTTTTGTTAAAATGCCTCTTATGAAGACCTTTTCATTCCACTTTTATTTTGCATGTACAACTGTTAAGGACAAGTGTTAAGGACAACCCTATTCAAATGGGGCTTTTGATTGAACTATTATTTTGCAAGTCCAACTATTAAGAACTTTATTAGTAATGTTATAAAAGGTGAGGATTTGATCAGTGTTATAGAACTCATGATTGTCTGTTATGAACTGTTGCAAGTGTTTGTGGTACTGTTGATTTGGTAACACTTTTCATACCATTACATATGAGGTCAAAATCCAATAAGTAACTCCCACATTGTGTTCAACAACCACATTCATTACATAAGTACCAATACATTGTTACATCCAGTTGCAAATTCAAACCATGTTCTTCCATCATTACATAGCTACCAATACATGATATTTTACATACAGTTGCAAAATACAGACTTCTACAATCTGCCTAATTCCTCAATTGCAATGGCCACATTTTGTGCCAAGTTGTTACATAAATTGCCAAAACAACAACACCATTACTAAACCCTATGAAAGAATAAGCCAACCCATTAACTTTCTTTCTCTTGCTTGACGATGCCCAACGTCCTTTTCAAGTTCCTTCAATCTTCTAAGTAGCCAACTCACCAGAGCCTTCTCTCTAAGTTGAAATTCAATATCCACCCAAACAAAAAACTCACACCCTTTTTTCCTCCTCTACATCAACCATTAATACCAATTAATAAAAAAAATTTAACTGGATTCACAAACTTTCAACAACATAACTTACCCCTGATGAGTTTGGACAAACATGGAATCTTCGAAGTGGGTTCGCCTCAGTCCATGAAGTTTGTAAGCGAGCTATCTTCCCACAAAAGCAACGCGGTGCTGCCACATCCAACTCTTCCCTTCTGTCAACTATTTCAATCTTCATCTTCAATTTTTGTGGAAACCCAACCTCTGATTACTAGGGTTTGAGAGGAAGCCAATTTGGGGTTTTTGGGTTCGATAGGCAGCTCAGATCAATTGGAACGTTTGAGCTATATCAGATGTTAGAGGTGGAGTCCACATGTACATATCACACCCTCAGATTGGGGGCAAAGTGGGTCATTTCAACTTTGAGGGGATAAAGTGAGAATTGACAAATGTTCCAGGGGGCATTGTAGCATGTAAGCCAATAAAAATAATATAAATGGACACATTTAAACTAGATTTGGTGGAGTGTGCCAGGCCCATGCAATACTGCAACGCTTGGGCAACACTCGAGAGTCCCAATAGCAAGCTATTATGGTGGACCGTCCTCCTGAAGAAATTATTTTAATATCATGTGAGCCATTGGCCACGTATCAGATATTAAACTGATAAGAACAGATACTACACTTGATCTTAGCCAAAAGGCCGAGAAAGGTATGCTTCATCTCGTGTCTTGTTTCCCTTCTTATAGGTCCATTCGCTTCCATGCTTCTTTGGTCAAGCCGATGTGGGATTGGTACAAACAGCTAAAGCGTGCTTATAAGGCTGAGTGGTAAGGGCTAAAATGTTGGCTACAAAGGACTATATTTCTCATATAAGAGAAGCAAAAGTGGCTATGCAATTTGGGAAAAAGGTACAGCCAAGGTTTGGTGTGTGTTTGACCAAAAAAATAAAATAAAGGTCTGGCATGTGTACTTGCTATGGACGGTTCCCAATTGCTTAGAACATTACACTCTTTTCTTAGTTTTCACTACCAACCTCTTCACAGATCGATCATTACTAGAAATGTGGCTTCTGTTGACGACAAAACCCGTATCTTCTTTTGATCATGCTATTTGTACGCAGCAGTGAAATGAGTGTTGTAAGAAAATTTTGATACTAAACGGAGAATTGAAGGCCTATTTTTGACACTAAACGGAGAATTGAAGGACTATTGAAATCAAAATATTTGACAGACTTTGACAGTAAGACAATTTTGATAGTAAACAGAGAATTGAAGGACTATTGAAATGAAAATTTTAATTAGTCGACCAAAATAAAACTTGAACAATAATTGAAGAACCATTTCGGTCAATAATTGTAAAAAAAAAATTTAGACTAAATTTAGTGGGGTGCGCCAGGCCCATGCAATAGTGCAACGCTTGGGCAACAATTGAGAGACCCAATAGCAAGCTATTGTAGTGGACCCTCCCCCCTAAAGAAATTAATTTAATATCATGTGGGTCATTGACTCACATATCAGATATTAAACTGATAAGAACAGATACTACACTTGATCTTAGCCAAAAGGCCGAGAAATGTATGCTTTTTCACGTCTCTTGTTTCTCTTTTTATCGGGCCATTCACTTCCATTGTTATTGGTCCAGTCGATGTGGGACTGTTCAACATTTACAAACAGCAAAAGGGGGCTACGAAGGTTGAGAGCATAATTGATTTTGGTTATACATGCATACATGTGTTCACAAAGCTAAAATATTGGCGACAAAATGAAGATATTCAATTACATACACGTTCTAAAAAAGGATTGTATTTCTCATATAAGAGAAGCAAAAGGCTGCTTGCAATTTGGGAAAAAGGTATGGCCAAGGTTTGGTATGTGTACTGTACTATGTGCGATTCCAAATTGCTTAGAACTTCACTCTTTTCTTAGTTTTCACTATTCATCATACAAAATCTTCATAGAATATCTAATTTTGAACAAACCCCATTAGCACCACAATATTAATGTTGAACAAACCTAGGGTCCGTTTGATAACCATTTCAATTTTAGTTTTTAGTTTTCATTTTTTGTGCCAGAGTATGGAGGAAAAAGAGGGAGAATAGAAGTGGGAATGAGAGTGGAGATGAGATTAGGAAGAAAGATGAGAGGAGAGGAAGGGAGGGAGGAGTAACAAAAGTGAAAACAAAAACTAGAAACAAAAATCTATTCGAAATTGTTTTCACTTTTATAACTTCGCTCTTCCATCCTTCCCTCTCATCCTCTCTTTCAATCTCATACTCACTCTCATTTTCCTCTATACTCTAGCACAAAAAAGAAAGACTAAAAACTAAAATTAAAATGGTTATCAAACAGCCCCTAATTAGCATTTTTCATCATGCAATCACAATGATGCTTAAAGGAGTGGATTAAACTAGGAGAAACAATGAAAGTATGGAATTGGGGATTATGGAGAAACCCTTGACCTCTTTTAAGTGGGGTTTATGTAGGAACCCCTGACGTCTTTTAGGTGGGGTTTGTGGAGGAACCTAACCTCTAACTAAAAGTTAGTTAATAATTATCAAGTTTCATCCACTATAATCTAACTACAGAGGAACAAACTATCCCACAGAACAGCGCCCACTACTCACGTTGGATGAGGGATTAAGGGAATCTCATCATACAGACTAATTATTAAACTAACTTATGAAATATTAATAAAATAAAATAGAAACATAAAATATAATTCGTAACGCTTAATTATCAATCTATCATATAACTTTTTCAAATTCACAAAATTAATCATCTTAAGCCTTTGATATTAGTTCAAGTGATGAGGATAAGTCTAGAAATGAGTCAGACCTACGATAGATAAAGAGTTCGCTTCTTTTACCTCTAAAATAGGCGCTCGGTCTTACTTTAACAGTAATTAAACCTTTTATAAACAAACGGTTTAAGAATTACACCTCGACCCGTTAACAGCTTGCTGGGGCATTTTGCTCGACGGCGCTAGTTCTTTTTCTAATTATTAAACTAACTTATGAAATATTAATAAAATAAAAACATAATATGTAACACTTATTTATAAATTTATAATATGCAAGGATTGATATTGACGAAGCAATTTATGGATGGTTTGATAGAAAAGGTCCAGTTGAAGTTTACTAAAAATTATTTTTGCATGTCACTACAGAATTGAAGGGACAAATTAATAATTATTTTTGCATGTTACAACTGGATATATTAAACAATTATACAAGACAAAAAGGTAAAATCAACTTGAGAAAGACGTGGAATGAGCCTATTTTGCTAGCTAGTTGCATAAAGTTGATATTGAATTAAGGCAGGGGCCGCGCGAACGCAGGCCCCCACTACAATAAATTATGACGTTGGCTCTCCTACGTTGAGGAGACCATAGGCGGGCACCCCTCCTAAGTGCAATGGAGGTCACCAACCTAGGCCATGAGCCTTCTTGATCACTCATAGACCCCGTCCAGGTAAGTATGTCTTGAAGTGCCTCTCGTTCCTTTTTAATACATTAGTCTCGCTCTCAACTTCTTGTGAATTTCTGATGTGGTACTTTAGGCTAGACATAATCACTGGCTAAAAAATGCTGAAAAAAGTGCCAAAGATGCATGTGATTTGACAAGCTTAATTAATCTAGAGAAACACTCAACTTTCAAATTCACAAATTTAATTCTCAAGCCATTAACATTAGTTCAAGTGAGGAGGACGAGTCAAAAATTAATTAGAATTATGATAAGTAAAGAGTTCGCTTCTATTTCATTGTAAAAAAGAATTTAAACCGATACTTCTAATTGCTTTATAAAATGACTTTTCAGCCTTAAAAAATAATTTGGGTTCACATACTGACCCAGAGCCATGCAATTTGAAGGCTTGGTCTGCAAATTTAGAAGAACAATCTTACTCAATAAGGTTTGTGGCATTATTCAAGTACATGTAGTGTTATAAATATAGAAATAC